CCAACATGTGGATCGACATCCAACGGGCCCTTCGTCGCACCAAGATTCAGTTCTCCGGTGTCGGACCAACGTGCTTTCAGCGCCAAGTTCCCTCGTTTCGACTTCCAGCGACGACCAAGACCGTTCTCCGCCAGCTCAAGACTCATATGCGCACCATGCACTACAACGCGTGGTGCGATTTGCAGGATCAAGGTCGCACGGTCGGTGCCCGCGAAGGCCTGGGCAATGTTTTCTGTCTCGCGGCGGTGGGTTGTTGAATTGTGAATACCGGTTTACCATTGCCGCCCGCATGAACCTGATTGCGACCCGCGCTGTCCTGAAGCGCACCCATGGCAACTCCAACTCTTCGTGCCGACACTGCGGCAGTACCGAGACCGAGACGCTTCCCCATGTCCTGCAGCATTGCCCCCACAACGAAGTCTCGATTCGCGCCCGTCACGACCTTTCCCTTCGCCGTATTGCCGCAGCGATCGCCAAAGCCGACTCGTCGTGCCGTCTCCTCGTCGAGCAGCCGTTGCCCGAATTCACTGACGCCCTTCTCAAGCCCAACATCATCCTCGTGGACGACGCCAACAAGACTGCCGCAATATGCGACCTCGCCGTGAGTTTTGACGACGGCAACATTCAAGGGAGCGGCCTCACGGGGTTCCAGACGCGCGCCGCCGAGACTCGTCTGGCGTCCTCACTAAGCCCATTGCCCAAGACGTCGGTGTCTTTCAAGGTTGCCCCCTGAGTCCTCTCCTGTTAATTGCAGGTAGATGCCGCTGATCGAGGCCCTCCAACAGTCCGCGCTGCTCAATGGCATCCGTGTCTCTCCGTCCCACGACGTTGCCATGACCGCCTTCGCCGACGATATCAAGATCTACAGCCGTTCGCGCGCGGGCATCGCCAAATTGCACTTTATCATGGCCGCCTTTCTCGACTGGACAACCATGCGGGCCAACCCGGGCAAGTGCATGTCGTTGGGCGTTCGCTTTGACGGGAGACGCCACGTGCCTGACAACGTTGGCCTGACCATCCATGGCGGCGACATCCGCGCCATCTCCTTGGACGACAGCTATTGCTACCTCGGTGTGCGCGAAGGTTTCGACCATTTCCACGTGCGGTTCCAATCGTCCGACAAACTCGAGCTCATGCGCAAGGAAATTGT